GAAGTCAAGCGGCTGAACTTCAGAGGAGGACGAGTGTCCGTCTGGAGCAGAGGCCTGAGGGCCTGGCGAGGGCAGCGGGGTGTGCTTCCTGGGCGAGGCGCTCGGGGTGCTCTCTGAACTGGGGGAGGCAGGGGTGAGGCTGCAGAGAAAACCAGCTCTGGGTTAGAGAGGATACTGGGAGCACTGGGAGAAGCAAAGTTAAACTCCAGCCCGTTCTGAAAACTACTGGACCTCCAGAACCAGGAGCCACACTGCAAAAGCAATCTAGAAATGAGCAAAAATGTCTTAAATTAAGTGTGTTTACTGTTCATCTGAGTAGGTTAATGAGATGATCTGCCAATGGAACGAGCATTTTTATTCTTAAAAACAAGATATTTAGATAAAATGTACTTGAAATAAGACAATGCTATTGTGTTTTCTTCTTTTAAAAGTAAATCGTCTTGTTCTATTGGCAAAGCGTCTCTTTTACTTCATCAATTCAAGAACAAATGCATTTTGATTTTTTTTCAAGTGCAGATACAGAATCAACTGGTATCTACTGGGTCAGAAGATGGGGACCGTGGTCAGACCCGTTTATCAACCAAGAACTCCTGCTGAGGAGTCAATATGGGCCGTCTGAGGGGAACTGGGTGGAGGAACCAGTGTGGGTCAGAACCTTTATGGAAATAAAGCCAGAAGAAGACAGACAGACTTCCTGAAGACATCAGAGGTGTGGACCTTCATTATGGAGGACGTCCAACAACTCCTCCTACATGAGCAACGAGGCAGAGCTCGATCCAACTGGACCCATTCATCCCTGAAATACCAGGGAGTGTAGAAAAGCTGGAGGAGGGATCACTTTAGGAAGTGCTGGACCTGAAGCAGTGGGTCGGGTTTTACGGGTCAGTCAGTCTCATCTCAGATGTTCTGATCAGATGAGGTCACTAAAGAACTAATCCTGGTTCTCTGGTTTTTCTCTCTGCCAATAACATCAGGCTGCTGGGGATCCGCCCTCAGCTGACGGACAGCAGCAGGAACCACCTGAGCCCGCCTCACTGGGCCACATGGTGGCAGGCTGCGACCAGGCTGCAGCACTTCCTGCTTCCCTGCCATTGGTTCCTGCCTGGCTTCCTGGAGGTGGAACCAAGGATTAAGGGGACTAAAGGCTCTGATCCCCCCCACTGGGTTGGCCATGGAGGTCACCTGGGGGGGTTATGGTCCAATTAAGCAATAAATAACACTTATTAACCGTTAATCAGCCTTTAATTAAATATTAAATGTTAATTAAAAATTAATTAATCATTAATTATCTACTAAATAACTTGACAAACATTCAGCCTTTGGGGGGGGTAATCCGGCGGCAGTTTAATGTTTTTTTTTATTTGAGGTCTGTGATATTCAGACGGGCCGGAACCAGAACCCTACTTCACAGGGTGAGGCGTTAGCCAATCAGAAGCCAGATTTCCTGATTGACGTGTGTTTACCTGTCGTCGGTCCGCAGGCCCGTGTCCCAGGTCCCGTACTGACTGTCGGCGTCACGGCCCGGAGTTCCCGAGTCTCTGCGGTCCGATTCTCCACTCTGCTTCTGCTGCACCTGGAGTCCAGAACGGGAGAGAAAGGATGAGAGGAGAGACTGGAGGCGAGGCGGCGTCTGGTGGAGGATCCTGATCCTGCCTCTCTGCAGCACACAGAACCCCAGCGGGTCAGTAACCGGGTCACCTCTGGTGCCCGTGGGGCTCCTCCCGCTCCGCTCTGAGAATCAGACTAAAGTGGCGTCATCAGAACCTCCCAACGAGGCGCATGGCGGCTCCGTTTGAACGACCCGTTCTGAGATGCGTCAGAACCTGGAGTCCAATAACTGATCAGAGGTGGTTCTGGTCGGGGAACCAGGAAGTCCAAACAGGAGCCGTTTGAAACCCAATGATCTTCAAACTCAGTAGGGACGCTGTTAGAGTTCGTTCTCAGGCTCTATGGAGACTACAGGAAATCTGCTCAGCTCCTCCCCCACCTGTTGCTGCACAGCAGCCTGCTCAATGCCCAGCTTCTATCGCCCAGCAAAGCCTGAGGAGGTCAAAGGTGAAGCTTAATGGAGACGTGCCAGAGGGGGGGCTGAACCAGAACCACAGAGACATCAACTAACCCTCTGGTCCGTGCCGCCTGACGGCCAAACAGAGAACGGTGAGACACCTGGAGAAGTGGCGGCGGCGGCGCCCTGACTCCACAGAGCGGCCAGCTGGGTGTGAGCCCAGAGGATGTTAGAGGCGACAGGAACCTGAGAGCGGTCAGAACTTTAAGATTAAAATGAAGGACGTGTCCCACAGCTCCTCCCCCACCCGGCTCAGAGACGCTGTTCTCACAGGTCTCCTCTGGAACCGGCGTTCTGGGCGGGTTTTCTGGCGGAGAGCCCTGATCCCACGAAGCCGCTCCTGTTCCTCCACCTGAACGCTCCCAGCGCTCCCACACCTCATCAGCGCCGTGCTGCTGGGACATGTTGGACTAAAGCTCCATTATTCCTTTCTAAGCTAAGCTAAGCTAAGCCCCAGAAAAGGCAGATTTGATGCCAACAATCAGAACTGCTCCTTATTTCCATCAGCGTCCTCTGAGCAGTGAGGGCGGGGCCAGAGGGAGCAGATGGAGGTAACGGGCCGAACAACAACATCATGGAAACTGATGGAAGGGCCCCACGGCGCCGCGGCCTGCAGCTCCGCCCAGACCACCAGGCGCCAGGATGGTTTTCACCTGTTTGGACTCAGAGCCCGGCGAAGCTCTCACCCGTTTCTATTCAGCAAACACGTCTTCTACGATGGGAGGGGAAACGGACCCCGGTTTAAGAAATGAAAGAAACGTCGCCAACGGAAGGCGGGAGGAACCCGACGGAGAACGATCCGTCACCAGGAGGTCAAAGAGCTTCTAGAACCGTTTTAAAGTCGGGTCTCTGAGAGACAGAGCTCCTTACGCTAATACCTGACTCCCTGGAACCAGTTTGGACTGGTCTCTACCAGTTAGACATGGAGTATCAGTGGGATCTAGAGCTGAGCTTTGACTAGGCCATTCTATAAGCCTGTTTCTGCGTTGAAGAGGAGATCCCAGAACCCCCACAGCCTTCCACGCTGTCTGCAGCAGATTGTTCAAAGTTCAGCGTCCGTCACGTCCAACCGGACCGCCGTCTCTGAGCGCAACTAGAACTTCCTCTGATTCTACATCAGGAAACCTAAAGAGATAACGGATCACTGAAGGAACTGATCCTGGTCCTCCCAGAAACCAAGTCAGGATTAAATCCGTCTCTAATCAGCTGCTCCATGTTTCCAGGTGAACTGGGAGGCTAAACGCCGTTTATACCGAGCTACAGATCTATTTCCTCTGCTGCGTGACTCAAGCCGCAGCCCTGCAGCAGCCGACGCCTGTGCAGACATGCATCCTGCAGCGCAGCATGCCAAACTGGTTATCTCAAGCGACACAAACAGCTGGTCATTTATACTGGGATTAAGAGATGGAGATCCCATCAGTTCCAGCTCTTAACATGAACCTGAAGGGACGTTCTCTGGATCAGTAGAAAGGAAGAGATAAAAAAGGCTCCAGAACCTGGAAATAATACTAGTTATTAATAGTTATTGAGGTGGATCCCCGTCAGATGATCCCTCATGACTGAAACCAGCAGCTCTGTGGGTCGGGAGGAGCTTCATCAACGCTCCACCTGAGCTCCAGTCAGTAGCTCTCACTGCTTTCCATCAATAAGTCATCTTAAAAACCAGTTACTGAAATAACTGACCAGTGGAACCAGTATCTGCTGAACAGGACGGGACCATTTCCAGTTCGACCAGTCAGAACATCAATCAATCGATAAATAAACCTTGGAGGTCGGTTTAAAACGAGCTCTGAACTCCAGAAGCTAACTGGATTTGACCCGTGAGGTTTGGGAGTTCTGGTTCTCCTGGAACCGGCTGGTTGGGTCTGAGAAGCGGGCCGCCGGGCCCCGGGGACGTTTGAACATCTTTAAAAAGTCTGACAATATCAGCAGCAATAAGATTATAGTAGATCTTTAATGTTTAGATCCTATTTTAACGTAAAAAATGGAACAGTACTCTAAACCAATCAAAGCTTGAGACATGGCTGCCTGTAAACAAAACGTATTGCCTTTGACGGAGCGGATTTTCAGACCTTCGCAGAGCAGATCATCACGATACCGGCTGATCGGCCAATCAGTGCAGCCGTTCTTATGAAACACACTGGATTAGCATTAAATCGTTTACAATCTAGGATCGTAATTATCTGGTTTCAAGTTTCTGCTGCTAATTGAAGCTCAGGTGAGCTAAGCTAACGGTTCTTCTCATCAACAGATTCCAGGATGAAATCTGGAATCTGCCTCACACAAAAACAGATAAGCATAGACAGGCGGGGAGACCACACGTCTAAGGAGGGAAGAAGGTTCCGGTTAAATGTGGTCAAAGAAACCAGATCAGACTCAGGAGTCTGAAGCAGCAGGTCCGACAAACGGCCTGAAACCAAACAGTCGAGGAGGTGAAAACGGTGGAACTAAACAGCGGACATCAGGTTCTGGTTCTAGTGGCGGTGGGGGTGTGGCTCTTACAGCGGTGGGGGTGTCAGGCGCCGTGCGTCTGCGTAGGGACAGGCGCTGCTGGCTGCGCAGGGAGAACCTGCGGATGGACTCCCTGCTGCGGGAGGCTAGAGAGCGCAAGGAGTTGGTCCTCTTGAAGTCGCCGCCGTCTTCCCCTCGTCCGCCCCTCTCCACGGAGCTGGAGAGGAAGCCGAGCGCCCCGTGAAACGAGCGCCGCACGTTTCCCACCCATCCCGAAACCTGGGAGTGAGCCACCGCCAGCTTGTCCCCGAGATAGTCCATCACGGCCCGGAGCGGACGGGAATCATCAGAGTCCAGAAACACAGAGGAGACGGCAGCAGGGTCGGCGCTGCGGCAGCCGGGAAGGTGACACCACAACAGGAGGGCTCAGCAAGCGGCGCCGGACGGAGACACGTCTAAGAGGCCTCTCTGCTGCGTCGTCCCTCTGGAGTCATCAGTGCTCCTGTTTCGGCTCCACGCCGTCTGCCCCCGGCGGCTCTGCAGAGCCTCTAGTTTGCTGTCAGCTGTGCAGAGCTTGGCACAAACCCAGATGGGTTCTGCAGGACCAGGATGGCCTCAGCGTCGCCCGGCAGGCTTCTGATGGACGCCTCCAAAGGTTAAAAACTGCATCTGCCAGTAAAGGCTACATCCTTAAAGAGCCAACGTAAGCTTTGGTAGAGAAAGCTGCGCAGAGGGACACGCAGACAGCTGGAGTCGTTGGTATTCCACAGGGGAAGGACCGCAGGAGGGCTACAGCAGCCAAGAGTTCAAGAACAAAACGAGGACGGACCTCCTTCCCTCCCCGCCTCAGTCTGCAGGTACAGGCAGGTCAGAGAAAACGCAGCAGCGTTCACTTCCCAGCTACCGAATGTTACAAGACTCGCCGTCAAGGAGAAACTGGGTGGAGAGAGGGAGTGTGGAGGAGATCCAGAGAGAGAGAATGGGAGGTCCCTGATCCAGAGCAGGAGGGGGAGGGAGGGCTGATCTACGCTCTGCGGTGCTATGCTGAGCCCCAGCAGTTAGAGTGGAAGCAGATGTAGCAGAGGACAGACACGCTCCACATGTGATTTCATTACACCACAATTAGAAAGCAGAGAAAGCAGGTCTGACATCAGGGAAAAGTGGAAAAACGGCTCCAGATCATAAAGACAGAGTTTGGATCACCTGCTGAACCTGCCTGACAGCCACACGCACAATGGGAGGGACGGCCCCAGGCAAACCGTGTTTGTTTAGCTCTCTGGGAGGCAAAGTTAATGCAAACATCTGAGCAGAGCTTCCTGACGGAGAGCCTCGGCCAATCAGCTGCTGCCGCTGCTGCAGGAGGACAGAGAGGGCGCGTCCAGAGGCGCTGACCTCTGAGCAAACAGCCGCTTCCCTCCGTGCAGCTCAGGTTCACTAGCTAACGCCTCTGATGTCAGCTTCAGCGTCTGCATTAAGGATTTCTACAGACAAACAAAACTAAATCATCATATCATCCAACTGAATCAGTAGAACCTGAACCTCCCACACCAGTGAACAACCCTGAAGGAAGAAACGCTCTGTGGTGTGGCGTCTGTTCCAGAGGCGGAAACTGGATCCAACAGCATCTCTGGGTCATCTGGTTCTGAACACAACGACGCTTCATGGCCAATCACAGGCAGAGAGAGGAACCGTGTGCAGTTCAACGTTTCAGGACTGACCTCTGCAGACATCAGAAGCTTCATGCCACTCTAACAACTCTAGATCTAAGCTGAAGGTGGAGGTCACAGGTTCTGGAACAAATTCTGTTCAGGTCCAATTCCAGCTGCCAGCAGCTTTCAAGCACAGCGCATCAACAGAACCTGGGTTCTATCCTCAGAGGAAGCTTCCCAGCAGCTTGGCTTTGGTGGTGCATTCAGGGACATCATGTTAACTACACCACCAGTTGCTCTGATTTAAAACTGTTCTGTTCTTACATTTCCTCACAGCCCAGAAGCAAAGCAGGGAATCAACCGACTGACCAACTGACCAAACTATC